TTTAAAGCGCCCTTCTTTCTCCGCGCTGGCTTTCTCCGTGCTGTTGTCGCCCTGTTGATGACATCAGCGACGCGGTTTAGTCGGGCGCGGTTTAGTGGTGGAACCGCAGAGACCAGCAGCTACACCAGGCAGTGGCAGCAGTGCTATTACCATTAAGACCACTTTGATACACTCCTAATGATGTGGTGCCAGATCTGGGTTGCAAAATCTGAGAGCTGGGACTTCTTTTTCAAGGCAAAGCAACCGAGTCTCAGGATGAACAGAGGGGAGCCAAAGGGGAGCAGGCTCTTTTTCTCACCCACTGGACTCCATTGCCTCAGAACTGGTATCTGCAAAACGCTTCTGGATAAACCATCTATTAACTGCAACCTGATTTGGGGTCACAGCTGTACCCTTAAACATGACATTGCTACTTTACAAGCACCGTCACAAGCACGATGACGTCTTTGCCCAAATACCAGCGACCTAAATTCACGAGTGGGCAGGATGGCAACCTCGTGCGTTTGGACCAATGTGGCCAAGCAGCCACCTTAATTTTTACAACTTTATTGCAACTTAGCAGTTTACATGAAGATCCTAGTACTTCCTCCTGTCCCTTTACGAGTTTCACAGTAGTCCCGTAATCCTTATCTGTCCTATATGCCAATTCGTAGGCTGTGCCCATTTCACTCCTATTCCTGATAGTCCTAGGAAGCCAACCAATGTCATCCATTTCGAAAGAACAGGGAGAGGGGAAATTGCAACAGGAGTTTTGAGACGTGTTCCTGCCCTTCTTTGAATCTGAGCTTCACACGCCCTTCCAGATTTACCAGTTTAGATTGCGGCATTCTCCCCAGTCATGGTCTGATAAGGCTTTTGTCAGAACCCCAACATCACAGTCTGAGAATCCACTTGCATAATGGGACTACCAGGCTGAGAGTGAAACTAAGGGCCGTGGGAGAGAAGAATGAATGAGTGGCTTGGGGTGTTGTGTCTGCCATCAGAGGCAAGGATGTCGTGGAAATTTATCTTTCCAAAAACACTTATGGGCGGGTTGAGGTTTCATCCATCACACTGCAAAAAGACAATCAAAGATACTTTGGGTACAAAGATGTCCCAAAAGCATCCCACATGGTACACCCCTGTTGAAGAACTGCCCGGAGCAAATCCCATTTCCCTTGAGCTTGCATAGTAATAGCAATAGCAATAGCAGTTAGACTTATATACCGCTTCATAGGGCTTTCAGCCCTCTCTAAGCGGTTTACAGAGTCAGCACATCGCCCCCAAC